TTTTTTCTCTCTCTAATTCTTTTTCATATTTATCTCTTTCTCTCTCATTCTTTTTTATCTCTTATTTCTCTCACTACAATCTTACTCTACGAGCCAATTTGGATACAGCCAAATATCCCAGTTAGGGAGAGAAAGATGAGAAAAAAAAATTAGAGAAAAAGAAGAGATAAATATTAAATAAGGAGAAAAGGTTGCCGTATAACATGGATTAGTTTTTACAGTGGTAAAATGGGTTTTAATTGTTACGATACTTAAAGTACCGTAATTAGCTTCCATAGTTTTACAGTACTTAAAGTACCATAATGCTAATTGAAGTTATTGGTATTACGGTAGTATAAGTACCGTAATATATTTTCAAGGTATTACGGTACTCGAAGTACCGTAATTCTATCAATGCCTTTACGATAGAAAGACTACCGTAAAAGGCATTTTCGTCCAAAAAATAGCAAAATTTGAGAAAAAGGGTATGGGCAAGGTTTTAGGAAGTTTGGTTTTTTTTTCCAATTTTGTTAAAATTAAGGTATATTAGCGATAATTTCGCTATATTTAGGGACTTCTCACTCTTTCAATATCATCAAATTAAATATCTATTCTACAAAACGAGAAAGGAATGAAAGCAAACTATAGATAGCTACAATAACATCAAGTAAATTCAGAAAAATAAAATACAATAAATCTTCATTTTTACAAATCTATTTAACTTTTGTCATGGAGAAGTGGTTTTGTTTCCTCAGTGAGAGCATTCTCTCTCACTTGGCTATGTTGGATATTCAGATCAAATATAAACAATGATGTTAGAGAATGACCCACCTCACCTCAAGGATCATATCCTATCTTGGAGGGCGCATTGGACCATAACATACCCACACTCATTGAATTTTAGTAAGGGGCATGATAGATCGTTTTGTCATATCTGCCTGGACTTATGTGATGTTGCATGAGAAAAAGACGAAAGAATCTCGATTTTGTATGGTTCAAAAGGGATTCCAGTCCTTATTTTGTTTGTTATTATCCTTCTAAAGATGTATATGCAACAAATGTCAAAACAAAAACTTGTGAACTGATCATTGTTGTCCAATGATATATTTTTTTAAGTAGAAATACACAATTACCAATATTTTCTTACTCAAATTTAGGAAAAATTGCCATGGTACAATAGCCAAGATTATACAAGTTCAGAAACAATGATGTTCTTAATTTTTTGCATTTTTTGAATGCCACAAAAAACATGGACTTGTCATCAAAAAGATAAATTGTGTCGAAAGTCAAACGTTTATAAAATCCTTTGCCCTATCAAAACTAAAAAATCAAAGCTAGTCCCCCTTCATCTATGTTCATTCCCATGTCCCTAACAACCCTAGTGTAAGAAATCACTAAGTTGAGATTAAAGCTACATACCTGCTATTAACAAGAAAGTCAGTCTGCATCATCCTCTGTGTAGCCCCTTCAGCTTACCCTCAAACTTGTCCCTGTAAAAATAAAATGACCACCACTAATAAGTTAACCTTATTTGTGTGTGTGTGAGAGAGAGAAAGACAAGGGACGAGGGGGAGGGGGGTGGGGAATTTGGAAGACAAAAGATTGATTGAGCAAAGCATTTAACATAAGAGAATATAGTGGAAGCAATAAGCTTTACTTGATGGCAGCCTTTATCTAGTCATAGATCTCCTGTTTGCTAATGAACAACCAAACCATCCATGATGGGCACACAAATGCCATACTCGTCAGCTTCAAAAGTCGGAAAAAAATCTAAAAGAAAAAGAAAAACACACACTCACGCACACCTCATTTACATTTTCTTTTGCTTCGTAGGCCCCTCTATACAAATCTTTCAACCATAAAAAAAGAAGAAATAAAAAGCAAAAAGCCCATCCTTATTCCATGTTCCTCCATTTCCTCCATACAAATAAAGAAAATCAGAACAAAAACAACACTCCTCAACATAATTGATGCAATCCTCTACCCTTCAATACAATATCAAAATATAAAAGCCTAAGAAATAAGAAACAAACAATAAGATGTCGCAAGGAAGCCTCGAAACTATCCCTTCACCCGTACAACACGCACTGACAAACCTGCCACCATGAAATGCTTGACAAACTCAAAACATATTAACCTCCATTTTCTTTATTGATAAGTGTAAATAGACGATTCCAAGAGATTTTTTTTTTAATATGGAAAGATTACACAACTCCAAATTTTCCTTTTATTAACGTGGAAAATTATAGAGGGAAACTGCTACAAATAAAGAAGAACAAGCCAATGTTTTAAAATGAAGCCACATTGCTGCATATGCAGCTGCATCATGCGGTATGCGCCAAGAGGCGCATTGCAAAACAGTGCATTTGCGCTTCTGTAGGATGCTCCAGAATATGCAGCCACATAGCGCATAGCACATGCAGTGCAACGTTGTGGGTGAAAACAACCTCCCAAAAAGAGGTAGTTAAGTAATTTTGCTCCCAGAAAGGGGGAGAAAGGTTTGGGGGAATCTACCCAAACCGCAATAATGCCATGCATTAATCAACTACATACACCTTTGATAGTCTTTTAATTTGGCAATTTTTAAATTTGTGGATATGTTTTTCTTCGCTTTTTTTTTTGCCTAGATATTTCAGTGGTAGGAATCGAACTTGAGATGTGGCACTAACCACTCAAGCCCAACTCCTAGACAAACCAACCAACCAAAGATAGTCCTACAACATCTGTGCTCATTACTAGTCCCCATGTAGAAGGAATAAAATAAGTTGAGATTGAACCTACATACCTGCAATCCACAACAAAGTTGATGGAGACCACGTCGTCCTCAATGTAGCCCAAGATTCCCTTCAGCTTACCCTCAGACTCCTTACAAATACAAAACCACCACCAATAATAGGTAATTATCCGCGTATATGAATCCACAAAGGAAGAAACCTAAGAAATGAGAAACTTAAGAAACTATGTTATCACAAACAAGAAATTTCAGTATCCCCAACTTAGTTTTACCACCTCGAAAGGACTCTTACCAGTAGATCTATTGCATAGGCTATTATAGGCAAACTCGATCTGAAGCAGTGCTAGATCCCATTGTTTCTTCTTTTACCAATAGATCTATTGCACACGCTATTATAGTCTGCGGATGATAAGCACTACTAAATTGTAACCGAGTGCCCAATTTCTTCCACAAAGTTACCCAAAAATAGCTGAGAAACATCGTATCCCGATTTGAAGTTATCGTCTTTGGAACACCATGCAACCTCACCACCTCTTTGAAGTACAAGTTAGCAACATTTGTGGCATCCAGAGTCTTCTTGCGAGGTATAAAATGAGCCATCTGAGAATCTATCCACCAATATGGATATAGAATCCATAACACTTTGAGTCTGCAGAAGTCCCAGAAGAAAATCCATGCCAACAACTTCCCAAGGTGCATTAGGAATGGGAAGTGGAGAGTAGAGCTCAGTATTTTGTCGTTGCCCCTTAGCCAGTTGACACGTATGACACCTCTAAATAAACCATAGACCATCTCTCTTCATTTTTGGCCAATAGTACTTAGACTCCACCAATACTATAGTTTTGTCTCGACCAAAATGTCCACCAAGACCTCCCCCATGGAGCTCTGCTATTAGGGTTTCTCTAAGAAAACCTATAGAAAAATCCATCTTGAATAAAAAAATCCTCAACAACTTCACTGTAACACTGGTCCCATATCCTCCCTAAAGTCGTCATCATCTGCATAAAGATCCTTCATAAACTCGAACCCAGTAATAACAGTCACCATGGTAGTTAATAGAGTCGACCTTCTACTCAAAGCATTTGCTACTCTATTCTGACTGCAACAACCCATATGGTATGGAGCAGTCTTACTCTCAAAATCCCATAAATTTCTCTGTAGTAATTTATCTAGAAAGAAAAGATAGTGATGAGAGATTAGGATGCATCTAACCTTGCTATGTGTACATAAAAGAATCCATATGTCCATTGCATGTTCTTTCTTTCTAAGTTGTAATTCAGGTTAATTCTTATAAGTATGGAATGAATATCTTATCTTATAACTGATACTTGTAAGCTTAACCAAATTTGGTGAGAGTGAGGTAGGGTTAGAGGAAACAGAAACACCTTCATAAATTTATTGGAATTCCAAATATCTGAGAAACTATCTAATATGACTAGCAACAGCAAAACTCCAGGGGTCATTGAGAATATTTAGGAATAGGGTTTGTTTGTTTCCATACCTGCACAACACAAATGGTCTTGAGGTGAATGGGGGAATTACGAGGCAGCCTAATGTGGCCGATCTCGTAGAAGCAATTCAGCGTTGTTCCCGGCACAGACATTACCACCTCACGCTTAACACTCGAAACTAATAAATAAATAAAAAAAGAAAAAAGAACAAAAAAAAACCAAGGAAGAACATTTTCTCTCACAACAAATATAATGAAACACAAATAAGAATTTACCACATCACTCGCAGTTGGAATGTTCAGTTGACAGACGCATCATTGGACAAGGAGATTTGAGGATCTGGTGGATGAGGTGAAGCCAACTTGCTCTGAATGATGTTTGGTCGTTCATGACAAAGGCGGATCTGTATCCAATTGCAGTTATAATTCACTTCATAACCAAAGGAGAGGTAACCTCGTTGTGTGAGAATAATTTTTTTTGTGGTCTTAAATAGACAGACCATAGAGAAACCCTTATCTCATCAAATTATCACTGCACTTAGCAACTTGCCGCTAAACTGAGGCAATTTCAACGAGTGCAAATGGGAAATTAGGCAATTCTAGTATGTTTAAGTGGCTGAATTGAGCATATCACAATTACTCCATCAAACATACAACGACCATGTCCTTGAGTTGTTCTCATAACAATTTACGTACTCGTCAGCACAGCAGTGCAAAACCAACACCCAAAAAGGAGAGATCCGAGACCGATTCAATTACGACAACCCGTCGATCATGCCGGTCGATCAACAAGAGGAAAACATCCTAGATCACCATCAAGTAAGGGAAAGGAACAAGGAGCCTTTCCAGCCCTAACCACGTCAGTACTCGAAGTAGGGCAGCACCTCTACACAAAGTAGGGGCCTTCTCTACTACACCAAAGTAGGAGGGAATGTTTTTCAATTCCATAAATCAAAATAACATCAATAACAGCGTCTGTACAGTACATTTAAACCCAGTTGCGGACCCTTGATAATAACCAAAATACCTCCAACAAAATAGTACAATGACCAACCTACCCTTATACCCTATTCCCCATACAATTAAATCAACATACGTGAAACCTAGTTCCCATTTTGCAAGTCCCTATTTATTTAACCAAATTCTCATGCAAAATAATAGATACCATAGATAACCCAAAAAAGATGATAATCATGGGCCACCCTTTCATTAAATTGAGATACAATGTTAGTTTTCCTTATGAAAATAGTATCCCCCATATAACTAAAGTTCGTACCAGAACCCTCTAAATCAATCCAATGTGATTTCTCTATTCCTCTTTTTTCTTTCCACCATACCATCTAATATTGGAGCAGGCCCGTTCCCAAAGCACATGAGCATTTGCTCTAAGTTTGCTCGATGGAGGTTAGAGAGGTCAAGTTCATGGATGTGGTGGTGACAAAGTTATATGTGAGGGAATAAAATGATCTAATGAGAATTGAGCAAGATGTAAAAAAGGTCAAATCAAAGGAGATTTGAGGATTTGGTGGATGAGGTGAAGCCAACCCGCTCTGAATGATTTTTGGTCGTTCATGACAAAGGTGGATCTGTATCCAATTGCAGTTATAATTCACCTCATAACCAAAGGAGAGGTAATCTCGTTGTGCGAGCATAACTTTTTTTGTGGTCTTAAATAGACAGACCATAGAGAAACCCTTATTTCATCAAATTATCACTGCGCTTAGCAACTTGCTGCTGAACTGAGGCAATTTCAACCAGTGTAAATGGCTGAAATTAGGCAATTCTAGCATGTTCAAGTGGCTGAATCGAGCATATCACAATTACTCCATCAAACGTACAACGACCATGTCCTTGAGTTGTTCTCATAACAGTTTACGTGCTCGTCGGCTGATTGCAAAGCCCCAATTTTAATGCACAGTGGTGCAAACCAACACCCAGAAAGGAGAGATCCGAGACCGATTCAACAAAAACAACCAGTTGATCATGCCGATCGATCAACAAGAGGAAAACATCCTAGATCACCATCAAGAAAGGGAAAGGAACAAGGGCCTTTCCTGCCCGAACCACGTCACTACTCGAAGTAGGGCTGCACCTCTACACAAAGTAGGGGCCTTCTCTACTATACCAAAGTAGGAGGGAATGTGTTTCAATTCCATAAATCAAAATAACATCAATAACTGTGTCTGTACAGTACATTTAAACCCACTTGTGGACCCTTGATATTGACCAAAATACACCCTTATACCCTATTCCTCATACAATTAAATCAGCATGCGTGAAACCTAGTTCCCATTTTGCAAGTTCCCAATCATTTAACCAAATTCTCATGCAAAATAATAAATACCATAGATAACCCAAAAAAGATGATAATCATGGGCCACCCTTTCATTAAATTGAGATACAATGTCAGTTTTCCTTATGAAAACAGTATCCCCTATATAATTAAAGTTCATAGCAGAACCCTCTAAATCAATCCAATGTGATAAATATCAAATAATTTTAATAGTTGGTTGTACATTATGCCCAAGAAGAGCGGATTTTATTGTCGGCGCTGGTAGAAATGAAATTGAAATGAATGAAAATCATCTACTTAGTCACAAACAAAGGAAAGCAGAATTGATCTTCAACTAGGAAAAATGAAAAGGCATAAATCCATGCCAGTTGAAATGCATGGAAATCATCTACTTAGTCACAAACAAAAGAAAAAACAACTGATCATCAACCAGAAAAATGAAAAGGCAATAAATCTAAGCCAATTTTAAAAGCAAGTACTATGTACTAAGCCTCTTTAATTTGTGCATTCGTCTGTTGCAAGGCCTTTTTCATTTTGATGAGTGTTACTATTAGGGGAGTTTTGATAAAAAATAAATACACAATATATTTTTCTTAGATACTAATTAACTTGGAAATGCATGTGCACCTCTATCCCCATACCATCAATTCAAGACAATTAAATTCGATATGTATAAATCCAAAGGATAATTTTGATTCAAATTAAAGCTCCCAAAAGATGACCAATGTAAACCAAAATTTTTAACTTACCGCACTCGACTTTAGTTCCTAACCAGCAAATGTATTGCACCCATCACTTCTCCCTTTCCCTAAAATCTCTCCATTTTACATCCCAAAGGCTCATCCTTTCAATTTGTCTCTTTTCTCTCTCTCTCTCACTCTCACTCTCTCTCTCTCTCTCCTCTCTCTCTCTCTCTACTACTA